TTTTTTTTTTTTTTTTTACTTTTAGTAGGTTTAAACCAAAAGCAAAAAACCACAAATACAGAAGTCTAACAGGCCTAAGAGTGTGTTTCTTATGATAAAATAAGTATACAAAAAGATCAGTAACCATCTGTCCGAAACAGTACCAGATGTTGGTCAGTTTTCAATATCGATTACATTTTCAAGTAAATTGATTGTGTTTTGGCCAAATATAAGATAATTTCCTTCTTTTCCATCATTACTTCACATCTGTTCATCTCCTCCACTTTCCAAACCCAACTGTTTCACAAAAATATTTCCAGGGCAAGATGAATCTTTGTTGGGCTTCCAGCTTTTGTATCTTTCTAAATCCTTTGGAGATGTCCAGGATTGTAGACTACAGTTTTCAAAGATTCTTTCAGACACATGTCACTGCCATATACCTGGGGATGACTGAATGGTTTACACTATTGTTCTGGGTTCAATTTTTTTCTTCTTCTTAGTAGGTGGTGCAGGGCTGTGGTTTTGACTTCCAGCCTCGGAACAATGCTGATAACACTGATTTTTTTAGTTGTTGCTCAGTAATCTTTACTCTGACCAAGGACTTTCTCAGTCTCATGCTCTGCCAGGGAGGAGGGGAAGCCGGGAGGAAGCAGAGACAGGACACCTGACCCAAACTGGCCAAAGGGGTATTCCATACCATAGCATGTCGTTCCCAGTATATAAATGGGGGGGGAGTCACCCGTAAGGCCCAGGTCACTGCTTAGGTCAGGCTGGCTATCGGTTGGTGGGTGGTGAGCAATTGCGTCCTCTCCCCTTGTTATTTCTCTTATCATTATTATTGGTAGCAGTAGTGGTTTGTGTTATACCTTAGTTACTGGAGTGCTGTTACGTCAGCCATGGTAGTTACTTTCCTCCGATTCTCCTCCCCATCCCTCCAGGAGCTGGGGGAGGACAAAGAGGGGGAATGAGCGAGCAGCTGCATGGTTCTGAGTTACCAACTGGGCTTAAACAATGACAATTATGAAATAACTCCTCCTATTCTGGGAATTGTTCTTAGGATTCAAAATATTTAAACAGGAAATGCCTGCATTTTTCTGCACAGGAGCAGCAGAAGTTTTAAGAGTTTCTGCCATTGCAAAGCAAACTGAACTCTACAAAAGGTAGCAAGTCTTCATCTTATAATATGTAAGGGTCATATAAGGGTTGTGTTTCGTAGTAAGAATGTGCACAATACAACCAACCGAGTTAATTAGTTTTCCTGCTAGTGACTTAAACACCAAAGCAGCGCTTTCGTGTAAAGGGCTGTCTCATTAGCCTGAGTGTTCAAAGTGTGCTGTATTGACTTGTTCTCAGTAAACACATACTGCTTGTAAAATACAGTCTGCAAAGAATATAGCCTTCTCTTAAGTTTACCTCTACTACTGTCCTTTTCTCTTTCTTCTCACTAATACTTAAATAATGAGTTTGCCTTTCTGCTTGAACAGCAGATTTTTAGCAAAGTTATTTTGCAAACAAGGTTTTGACTGAAGGAAGAAGCCTATTCAGGGAGTTTTTATGGCTCTATACTTTCAACTACAGCACTTATGGTGACAGAACAAATGGTAAAGAAACAGGTCTTCTATTTATTCTTCTCCTCACCCTAACAAGACCTCTTTCTTTGTCAACTACTTGACTCAGCAAATGTGACTCATACAAGAACTTCCTGGGATATATAAACCTTATCTACCCAGGAGTGTTAGCATTCAAATACCTCTGCAGCAGAAATACTTCTTTCACTGCAAATCTAGTTCTGAATAAAATAACTTTTCATTTTATTATCCTTTAAAAAATAAAAAATAACAAAGCATTTTGTTAGAAAAAACGTTGGGGGAGTGAGTTCTATATATCTATAAATGTGTTCTGACATTTTACACTTATTTAAGGGTATCCAGCTTGGCTTGTAGAAACTGACTACTGAGTGCTATCACTGTCTCACTCCCCACACAGAACCAATATGAAAGACGTGTTCTGTAAGACACAACTCATGCTGGTCTGCAAAACACTAGGGAGAAGTGGTACAGGGACTGATACATATAGTACATATTGTACATACAGACAGATGCACATATGCATATTTATAAATATATATTTATATGTACACATTCACCCCTCCATGCACACAGGTAACAACAGGGTAACTATCCATGTACACATTAATGATTAAAAGAAAATACCTCCAAATGGCTCTGTGTTGGGCTAAGGTATACAGTGATACCCCCACACCATGAACACCACAAAAATACAGAAATAAAATTCAGCAGAGGCCAAGACTAGCAAAGCCAGTAACGATTTTTGTCATTGTCCATCAATGAGGTACTCCAAAAGGTAACCATACAATAAGCAGACGTTAAAAAAATTTTGTACATGAGAGAACTGCACATTAAAGAAAAAAAAGCTGCAGATATTTATTTTCCTGGTGACGTAAACATACAATTGTTGCTAGCAAAGCCTCAGGAAGAAACACTGCAGTGACTAGCGAGAGACAGCAGCACCACCTGGTGTTCTCTCCAACCCCCCAGAGAAGTGCCTGGTACCCATTCGGACCAGAGCCCTGACAGCCAGGTCCAGTTCTGTAAGCTCCGACCTCTTTAACCCACTGTGTGCCACAGAAATGTATGAACCATGATGGAAAAGACACTGGCTAGTTCACATTTAATCGATATGCTCAAGATAGTTTGGTTTTACAATTTTTAATGCAGTTAGAAGACAATAGTCCCCAGACATAAATGAAGTGAAGATTTCCAACCCTTAGCTCTGGATGTGACTCATAAATCCTGCTTATAGTAGATGGCATAGCCATCAATGGACTTGTGTGTTTTGCCCTGTTTCCGTTTGAGCACCTGAAGATTAGTTCATTTGCTGGAAGAGTGGGTTGTGTGAGGCTGTTTCCCATTCAGACATACCCTCAGGCCTTCCTCTCTCTCAGCAACCTTTGAAAAGAAGCCTGAGGCACTTTTAGAAATTTTTCTGTTAAACTCCTACTTCTGGAACAATATTTCCCTTGTCTATTAAATTAAGATCGCATTTTGCAAATTGCAATGTTAACTTTGATGGGAAGTCCTGGTTAAAAACGAAACAAAAACCTTGGATAAAAACTAAATAAGTCCATTTTTCAATGTACATTAAAATAAATATGCATGGGTTTTTACAAAGAGTAATTGGCCCTTGTGTTTAAAGATAGCTGAATTCCTTTGTGACTCAGAGAGGGGAAAAGATCCCTGATATTCAATTTTTCTCTTTTCAATTTCTCAGAAAGTAACAGCATGTAGACCTAGTGTAGGCAAATACTCCAGGCATAAATAAGCTTATTCAGCAGCAAATATGTTTGTTCATAAGTCATTATGTTCTTTCACACATGAATACTCAACCAAAAAGTCAGGAACTCAAATGAAAACAAATATCTGGGTATAAAAATACATGCCTCCAGCTACAACAGGGGTATTGCCCTCAGCTGGTCCTGTAAAAGGTAACAGTACATTCTAAAAAAATTTTCCTTTTTTATCCTAAAATAAAAAACCTTAACAGACACTCAATTTCAATTGTGATTTTTGAAATTATTTGTAAGTCAGAGCTCATGGGTTTTAGACAGAGCAAAATTTTGACAGGTGGGAAAAAAACAAAACCAACTTTCAGTCATCCTCATAGTCCCAGGATCCCCCTTCACCCTTGCTTAGCGTGAGAGGAAGTGGCAAGGAGAACATCAAGCACTGACTATCTGCAAGCACACAGTTTCAGCTGTGCAAGTAAGTGCTGCCAGTCTGTGGTCACCCTGTGGGACTTACTGTGGGGTAGGGGTGTGAGCAGAAGACAGTGTATTTCCGAATGATGCCATTCAGCTTGAGGGGAGGGAGCCAGGAGACGAAGACGGTGGAGGCTGAAGCTGCAGCTGCTTTAACACCCGCAGGAGGACCTGGAACTGGAAAAACAAGATGTGTTAAAGTGGCCCAAGACAGGCACTTGGTCATGCTAGTGTAATGGAGGAGTAAAAAGGATAAGGGGAGCATGCCAGTTTGGTAACCGTGCCTCTGTGGACTAAGATGGACACACTGTGTTAGGAAGCAGCCTCCATGCTGCCCACGCCAGGGGAGAGGGTTTGGAGGGCTATGCCCCCATCCCTAAAAGGGGAAAGACTCTTCTTCAGAGGTCCCCAATGCAAAAGCTGCCACCAACGGTTAAACTTTTGTGAAGTATCACCTCCAGCCTGCATGAATGAAAATATGTTGGCTGTGGCCAGTGAAATTGCCAAACAATATATTATTATAAATTGTCAGTATTGAGGACATAAGCCATGGCAAATTATTATTCACTGTAAAAATAACACACATGTGAGCAGTTTAATGGACATACACAGTACAGTTGTGAATTTAATGAATTAGAGAGTAAATGAGTTATAGTTCCATGCAGTTAGCACTGCCTGACATGACTCGGGTCTAGCTAGTGGTGGAACATGCGAGCAGGCAAACAGCCACATGGTATCCATGTTCCCAACCCTGCCCTCCACAGCTCAGACCACTCTTTGGGACCTCAATGTGTGAACACTATTTCTTTAATTATAGCAGCTATCTATATAAGCCATCAAAAACTCACAGAGAAAGAGAGACCCCCCCAAAAAACTCCTCTCTAAAACCACATGGAAAAAACTTTAGCCAGGAAATGCTAAAATCTTGATACATATTTGTAACCATCAATCTTCACAGCCTTACATTTTGAGAAAGGCTTTAATTTCACGAGCATGTTATTTTTCAAACTAACATTACACTGTACAATGTTCTCCAACTTTGGAAACACTCTTGTACTAATGTGAAAAAATCCTGCATGCTGGAATATCATGTTGCACGTAAGCTTGTACTTAAACAAAATAGCAAGGGCTACATTTAACATCAGAATAAATGGTTTTAAAGTTTCCTGAAAAAAAAAACCCACCACCTTTTGTCATTATTTAAAAATACATTTTAAACAATCAAAATAAGTAATTTTAAATATATTTTAGTATTTCATGTGTTGAATATTCATGTTAATAATTAAAATAGATACTTTGTTTTGGGAAACTACATATGGTATAAAGAAGAAATGAAGCATTCTGATGGACTCTGTTTTCTACAGAACTTTTGGTTCATGAGGAATCAATATTTTTGTCTAATTTCAAGCAAAATAACTAAAATGTTAGAATTTCTGGTAAAATTACCACTGCAATCCTTGATCAGCTTTCTTTACTTTCGCAGAAAACAGTCATTGTGCAATATAGATGGAAAACCCCTTGTCCCGCAAGCTGATCTTCGTAGATGGATCCTTAATCTTTGTTCTACTTCGTTTAAGGAAGTAGGTATTATAGTGACACAAAATTTTGCCTATAAAGAGAAGCCAGACAGCCTGGGGTCTAGATTTGCTTAGCTTTTTAGTGGCTAGCTATTTCAGGTTGTAAAAAGTATGTAAGAAAAACTTCAATTTTATATCTGTACAGGTACTACTGGAAGATGTAAAAAACCCGACAGATAGGCACCACTCAGTGCAATATCTCTGGATATGCATTTTCTATTTATAGTGTGCTGAGAAAGCTGATAAGGCATCAAGTGAGAATGTCATGATTATAATTGCATGTGAACCCAGCCCCTCATTGCAAAGGGACTAATTCAGTTAGCAGTTCTATCCAATGCAGGGTAAATATTGATGCTTGACAGCATTCAACTTGTTATCTATACCCAGCTCATTAGAAATGCTATTTGGTCCCGCTGCTGAAGAGTGAAAGCTAGCTTTCCAGGGTAATTACCTAATCCACGGGAGGATTCCTTTACAGTTAGTAATGTTTTCTGGAAATCACTGCAAATGTATGTATGAGGTTAAAGTAATTTATTGTTAAATTAGGGTGTGACCTAAAGGGACAGGTTCTGATGGTAATTGCTCATGCTGTCAATTGTTCAGGGATTAACTCAGAATTCATTTAGCATTTTCCAGTCAATGGACATACGTGGAAAACATTATTTGTCATTGCATGGCTGTATTACTGTCTGATATACCGGCAGAAAGAGGGTCTAGAAAGAAAGTCAGGAAGCCACATAGTCAAATTTTGAATTCAAGAATCCCTCCACCACATTGCAGAGGAGTTGGGATCAGGCAACATTTCTTGCAGTGGTATCAAAATTATTCTGAATATTCATTCATTACTCCTCATTTTGCTACAGTGTCTTTGTTTGCTGTTTTGTACATATGGAAATGACTGTGTGGGGAAGTGTTTACATTTCCTTAGCAAGAATCCTGTTGTCATCTGATTGATGCCTTACAGACCACCACTGTCCTCTGTCCAGAGCATAAAGTCATTGTTCAAATTCATCCCCTGGACATGACCAAGATTATTATGAGTTAGCTCAGTATTAAATGAAAGATTTATTACTAAACATGGGTCCCATGAGAATCTGAAGAAGTTGTGGTAGGGAATGCGGTGCCTGCCTTATCTTGGATAGGAAAGACCCCAGTCTTGCTATGCTAACTTAAGATATTTTCTTTCACTGCCATTGCCCAATACCATAGTTTCCTTTTTTCCACAGTCACCATGTGTAAAATAATGGCAAGAATCTAGAGAACAAGCAGGGCTGAGCACAGAGAAGCCAAGGACTGCTTCTAGCCAACTTTGCAGCCTTCCAGGGAGTAGATTTGGCAAATTTAACATCAAAGATGGCCTCATTCTCCAGCTAGCAAAGCTTTGAAAGACACGGAAATAGCATGCTGCTTTCATGTGGAGGAGAACACTTTGTATTCTTGACAGTGCAAATGAAATGCTAACGCAGAGAAGGCAATTATACTGATATGACTAGTCCAGGAAACAGCATTTAGATGTGCCAGATAATAGGGAGGAGCTCCAGGAACTTTCTCATTCCCCTTTTCATAAGCAGAGAGATTATCTCCATTTTTCTTCACAGTGCTGAACAGCAGGGAGGCAAATGCACATAGAGCGGCGCATTTAAAAGCAATATCACCCATATATCAGAAAGCTGAACCCTGTTCCATAACACGTATTTAATTCTGCACTTCACAGGACTATCCTACTGATTGTTACATTTATGAAAAACAAAATAAAATAGACTGCTGACTGCTGCCGGTAGTGCCTTTGTCCATATAGATATATCGCCTACAAGTTAGATCTATGCTAGCCAAAATGCATTTACATGTGCTGTCCACCTCTCATGCACTCTGAACTTGCCTCATATTAATCACACCATTTCTATAAAATCTTGCCAGCTTCACAAGTGGAATAGTAATTATTTTGTTAGTAAAAAAAAAAAAAAAAAAATTGGACATCTCTAACAATAGAAAAATTGCCTTTAGGAGTCATTAAGGGCAATTTTCCATCATAGCACCCAGGTGATGAACTGTACAGCCATCCTCATCAGCTGAATGAGCCCAAGCAGAGCTCTGCTCCAAAGAGTACTGAACATGCACTTGATTGGATTTACGCTTATTCATTTTAGAATAAAGCTTTGTCAGACAGTATCTGTACATCTACCTCTCTCATGCCATTTTGCCAGGAAGCTTGGTGTCCAGGTTGATTAAAAAGAGGAGGAAGATCTTTTTGGATTCAGGCAGAATCTTACAATGAGACTGGCAAAGGACTTTAGTGTTATTTCTCTTTCCTCCATGCAGCTAGTTCCCTGCTGTTCCCTTGCTGCAGCTTTCCCTTTGCTCTGAACGCCAACCTCTCTGGCAGAGGAGAGCTGGAAGGACAGCACTGCTGCATTGAGTAGACTTCTGTGATATGCAAACAGCTTTCTGTGCATAAAAATGCACTTTCAAAAAGAAACTGATAGGAGTGAGAAACCTGCATCCTCCTGAGTCACAGAAACCCCAGAAGCAACCTCTGCCAACACTTAGCAAAAAGCAGCCACACCAGGCCAAATTCCCCATTGCAGGAAGCTTTCCCTGGGAAGGGGCTGTGTCGTCTGCTGGCCAGTTCTGCCCAAGGTCAGAGGTGCTGCTGCCAGCTGAGGTGCTGCATCATGTGTCGGCCTTGTACAGGGATCAAATTCATTGTCTCAGCTATAGTTTTCTCATGTTGCATTTTCAGTGCAGAAAGAGAGGGAATTTGTCACACACCACCCCTCACCGCCCCATTGCTGCAAAGTGGAGTAGCTTTCAAAACTGTACTTTGAACACAGTAAGGAAGAGAATTTGAAGGACGACTTAAATTTTTAATGATTTAGTAAATTAAGTCCTCAGGTGAAGAGGACAAACAGCTTATTAGAAACTGCATATGGAAAAGCTAGGGGACAAAATCACAATGAATTCTTAAAAAATTGACATTTCTGTTTGGCTTATTTTTCTGCTGGGAGGAACTTCAAGAAGAGGAGTTTCTTTTTCTGAAGGCTAATGGGGGGAAAAAATTCTAGGCAAAACCCATAAATATGATCATATTGAAAGCTCATTTGCTATTATTTGCTAGAGCTGTTTAAATTTCCCAAGCTGATCAGCAGCAGTGTCTGACCTCTGGTGTCTAAAATCAGTATCAAACATTACAAGAAATCAAAGCATCAACTAATTTCATCCAGGCTGACTGCTTCCCTCCTTGGGTTACTCTTATTTTGCCATGTTAGAGATTTCAAGCCTGCTAAAGACATTTTGGCCTGATGTTTCCAGCTGAACACCAACAGAGAAGTCACAATCCACCTCTGCACAGCAGCAGTGGAACATGCTGCACCGTTGATTTTACGAAGAAAAGTTTCCCCTCATGTAAAAGAAATGAAAAAAGAAAAAAGAATTAATGGTGTGCTATGACCTCTTAGTAATAACAATGTGGAGGGCCTGGCACCAGTTAAAAATATCTCAGATGTGCAGATTTTATTGAAGAAGTGTAGAATATCTTGTGTCATAATTTTAGCCAGAGAAGGTCTGGGAGCAGATAAAAGGTTTCCAGATGTAAGCTCTGGTAAGATTGCAATTACTTTTATTTCACACACCGAGAGAGATTTCAAACTAAATTTAGGGCGTGATCTTTCAGGTGCATTGAAATTACTCCTACTAAATAATCCTCTACAGGAGACTTTTCCTTAGGAATTTACAGAAGAAATGTCCGTTCCAAGGAACGAGGCACGTGCTCGATGCCATGTATCTTCCTCAGCCTTAAGGATGTTTAGGCCCAGGATGTTTCTGTTTTTATTATCTGGCAGAATGCTCGTTATTGTACCCTTACATTGGACTGACTGGCCAATCTGACACATAGGGCAGCAGGCTCCAACGTTTCTCAAAGGCGTAGATCAGCAAGCACATACTTGCTGTCCTCAGGAGTCTTCTGACACAAACTCCCCCCCAAGATCAACCTGTCTCTGAGTTCCTGGCACAGTGCAGGACAATCTCCCTGTCTGCTGGCAGCTAAAGTACTAGTCTTAGCCTAAGTACTAGTCTTAAGGTCCCAAGGTGAGAGCCTTCATGTTTAGAGAGTATTCAGGGAAAAGTTGCCATGCTGGGATCTATTTGACAAAAAGTAACTTAAAAATGCAGAGGGTGATCTCACACTTCTCTTATTTTTTAGTGTTTTCTTTGAAATAAAACCACCTACCTCCAAGCAACGGGTGTCTCAAGAGCATCTGAGTCAGGTGCTCTGAACTAGTTTTTAAAAGACTTCAGGGTGGGAGCAGAATGAACTAACGTTCGACGTACAAGACACACAAGTCTATAGCAAAGCAAATTGTCCTTGACAGTTTCAGACGAGGTGCAGTACCTTGAGACAGTTTTAAACAGAGCCATTATTGCAAACTGATGCAGGATCTCAGCAAGACCAGGAAGTAGACCTACATTAACCAGCACTGATATATGCCCAAATTTCCTTGTATTTCTCAGCTGCAAGACATCCACTTACTTTTTCTGCTGTTAATTCAACTTCGGTCAAAGTAATGGAAAGTATTAAGCACATAAAAATAGAACAAGGAAAAATAACTCATTTTGATAATGTAAGAGAAAATTTTAGAAAAAAGTGAAATCCAATTTTTGTTTTTACTGCATCCTCTAGACACAACTACAGTTAGGTCCAGGTGACCTTACAATGTATATAGATTTTAGAATGAGTACTTTAATATTTTACTGAAGAAAAATAATAAAATTTATGAAGTAATGTTCTTATTGGAAAAAAACACCAAACGTTCATCAAGTCAGTTAATCTACTCAACCTAGTCTCTTGGCACTTTTGTAAATCTCATTACAGATAAAAATTTCTACAAAGATATTCATACATTCATGAATGACTGGTAAACTGGATAATAAAAATCCATTGACTAAATTCCTTGAAAAAACATTGCATAACACACAGGAGAATTTACCAATCTAACATTATTCAGGTAACTTCATCGTTAGTACTGTATTTTTGTTTCTGCCAAAAAATCCTTGATCCAGATTTTCAAAAGTGTTTAGGGATCTAAAGATGTATTTATACATCTCACGGAGGTTTTGAGGCATTAAACAGGTTAGGGGCAAAACTCTCCCTGAATTTGAAATTCTAGTCCTTGAGAAATAGATCAGTATGTGGCATCCTACTGAAGTGACTTTCATAGTTAAAGTTACAAGAAAGTGACTATGAAAACTAGTATGCGTGTGTGATTAAAACTTGCTTAAACTTTCAGCATTAGGAATTAAATTTTCCATGCTTTGGTCAATGAACAAAGACAAGAGATTTTTGTTCTACCTTTTACTTTTAAGAGAACAAGTGTTTGGAGGTGTTTTTTTTTTTTTAATATATATATACTGAAAAAAAACTTAGAAGCATATAAGTTATATAAGATCATCCCAGAATAGTCCCTTCTCCTTTCTCCGTTTTCAGTCACTTTGAAAGAATTAACTCAAACCCCCTCAAAATTCTCAAATAAGATCCTAAAGTATTTGGGAAAAAAAAAAAAAAAAAAAAAAAGACGATAAAACTACTCAAACTTGCTCAGATCATTAGTGCTATCTACAAACTTCTGGCTCACCTCAACCAGAGTCTTGGAAACAGTCAGATTGCTTTAAAGCTGTGGCCGCATGCTTCCTCCTCATTATATGGTCCTAACTCAGGACTTCCAGACAGAAATCTCACTCTGCATTTTTGTACAATATTTACACTATTTTGAAACATTTTGTGGAAGTGGGAATAGAAAATGTTTTACTCCTTACCATCTTCTTTAGTGCGGGTGAAAATTTGTTCACTTCTCACTCCATCTCCAGCTCGTGTAAAAGCCAACACCTGAATGCTGTAGTTGGTGTATTTTTCAAGGCCATCAAGCTCTAGTGATGGCTGTGTAGTAGTGACATTCTTTATCTCTCCTAGCTCTATAGAATGAAAAGGAAATTGAGTTATTGTCAAGTTCAGTCTTCTCCCAGTTATTGATACCTACTCTGGAAATCTTGGGGATTAAAGAGTGTACCAGAGAAGTAATGTTTCATTATTATAAACCAGCAATGAATCATAATAAATTAAAATAAATTCCTTTGTGTCCTGACTTCTTACCATTCAAAGCAGACCCAGTTTTCCTTTTCAAACTTTTTTTTTTTTTCTCCCTAATATGGGGAAGAGGATTGAAAATTTCTGCAAGTAATAAGATTTTCATAAAGAATAGATAACAGGAGGAGATTATTGCAAAACATTCCCTAAAGCAAAAATAGGAAAGTCACTTATCTTCATAAAGATTTTCTGGGTTTGAGAAAGACCATTTCTCATAAGGAAAAATAAGAAAAGTCCCCTTTATTTTAAAATATGTAATAAGTGCTGCTGCAAAGCACTTGATGGCAGTAATAACAGCTAAGAATAGATTTAAACATAGTCAAATCAGATTTACTTGCAGAAAGATGATTTCATATGAATTTTTTTTTTCCCAGCAAGCTAGGAAGTACAACCCATATGGCAGAAAAGCTTTAAACATATTTGGGGCAGAAAATAAAGATAAAAAGATGAAGAAAATCCAGTTTTAAGCACTGCATGAACATCATCTTTTTTTGTCATGTTGTAGGACATCACATAGGAGCTTAGACGCTGATTATATTCACATAGGATCTGACCTGAAGACTACAGGCATCACTGAAAAAAAATAATTTTATGTCTGTCATGTGCACATTTCTATGTACACTTCTCATATGTTTTTTATCTTTATTTTTAAAAGTACAAATGAATTGGTGACTTATTTCCAAATATTTTTGACTTTAACATTAACAGTAGTAACAATGGGCCTCTGGGTTACATTTCCACCCTGAGTTCCCCTTGTCACGCTAACAGAGGCCAGGATTTGCAAGAAAGTGGTGTATTAGTGTGAACTATGATCCTGATGGATGAAAGCAAAAGAAGGGAGACAGCTCATCGTCCTAGAGCTGTGAAAATTCAACAGGGCAGATGGGAATAAAGGCATGTGCATCTCAAATCTACAAATCTACCAGAAAGTACCATGTGTGTAATTATCATCATGTGATAAATTGCAGATTAGTAAGGTATTTCACTCCTTCTTTGATCATTTCAGTCATTCTCTGCTTAGAAGTCCCTAGGAATTATGTTCAGAGTACAAAAACCTAAACACAACAGAGGAAGCTACCATGAAAATAAGAAGCCTTTTCCAAAATGTTTCCTTCTTTTGCCCTCAGCTATGGAGATGAAATGCAGCCTGTCAAAAAATAAGCAATAACCTATGAAATAAGAAACTAGCTAAGGAAACAAATAACCAGCCAAACTAAAATAAAATACAGGTTTGGGCAGGTGTGGTCTAGGTTCATATCATCATTATTTATAAAAGATACCTGCTGGATTTTGTAACTGAAATGAAATTTGCTCACATAATTTTGGGTACTATGGTAGGTCTATGGAGTGTTGCAGACCCGCAGTAGAAGCCTTCCCCAGGGGAACCTCAAGGCAGCAGCAGCCTACTGCTCTGTTAAAGCTCTAAGAAAAATGCTTTCCTTCACAAACAGATGAAGCTTTCTCTAAACCAAAGAGAAAAGGAAGTACAATGCTTTCACAAAAGAGAATAAATGATATAAAGGCCTCATATGGCTTTTTACTTGGTAACAGCTTGATTTCTCTCACCTCCATCCAAGAGATTGGCCCAGTAGATAACCCTAAATCCTTGCAGAATCCCATTCAGAGTTTCTTTTGCCAGTGTTGACCAAGAAATAGAGATGGTTTCTGGTGATGTGGCAGTGGCTTGGACGTTCCCTGGAGGGCAACTGGGGACTGAAATAAGATATTTACCATTTTTAACTCCACGAATACAACCCAATGCTTACCCTTCCTTTACCCTTTCAATTTTCATTGCTATCCCACCACCCATGGTTTAATTAGCAGTTACACCCTGTTACCAATGCAAACCTTTACTCTTCCTACAATCTGCAAACAGCAGCTGATTTTCCTGGAATGACTTTTGATGTACTGCTTCCCCACTTGCAGACTAGTATTTTAATAGGCTTTCTGTCACTTCTTTTGAAAAAGAAATGTGTCCTAGTGCTGAAATATGCATAATATTCTGTAAGCAATTTAAGTATGAGTTCTTTTTAAAGTTTGCAGCCAAATTGGCATCTTTCTGGACAATTCTAATGTCCCTTTAAAATTGGTGGGAAGGGAAAGCAGGCAGTTCTTTAAAAATATTAGAAAAAATGTTAATGAGGGACCCAAAATTGAGTAATGATGAAAAAACCCTTGTTGTCAGGAAAAGTAAGCATGTAGGATTCTGAAAAGAAAAAATATTGTTTATTATAATAAAAAATATATGTATGTATGAGTATAGTGCCTTCTGAGATCTTGCAGTGATCTGTCTAGGCCTAGAAATGTTTAGAGTAAATGAAAACCACCAGGCTTCCATGAAACATATGCTTCAAAGTCTGTAGCTCTTGAGAATTTCAGATGTGTCCTACCCCATTCCTCCTGTGTAAAAAGTCAGATTCCTATCTGGCACTGACTTCGGCACACTGGTGTTAATTTACAGTAGCTGAAAATCTGACCTGTACTATACTTTATGATTTATTTGCTTTTATATGCCTGCACAATATTTGGCCTCTTTTAGGATATGGAATAATTTTATTTTTCCACTAGAGGACACCCTCTCATTGTTTGAGAAGTGCTTTTTATGCAGTTTGAAAAAAAAACCAAATCCTAAATTGTTTCTTGGATTAGTCAGATTGAATTTTGTCTGAAATAAAAATTATATTTCTCTCATGAATTTGGATATCCTTGAAAAAAACCCACACATCTCTCTTTAGGCTGACAAGATAAGGGATTGTGCAGTACAAGAGCTCTCGTTTTCACAGCAGATTCATTTGAAAACAAAAGAAAGCCAACACAATTAGCAATATCACTTCACCTTTCAGAGTTTTACTTCTAAGAATCTCAAAACTATAATGTCGAGATCACTATGAAGCCATGATGAGATCACACAATTTATGAATACGTAAACACCAAAGCAATAGGCTACTTAATGAAAGCTACAGTTATATTTATATACCCGGATGACCCTGCATCTCTTGCGATGAAAATTGTACATGCTTATTGGCCAGTCTCTTCCCACCCAGCTATCTACTGTATCTAATGCCTGTAAAGTCTGGTCTTCTATTATCCCCATTATAATAATCACTATTCAAGCAATAAATGTAACAAGGTAAAAGGAAACCAAGAAATAATAATATGTCCCATGATAGCTGTTTGCCAAGGGCCTACCATCCTCAAGAGTAGTGGTGATGATTTCCTGAGAAGAAGGTCCTATTCCAGCCCGATTACAAGCCTGGACTACCATGCCATACTGGGTGAATTTTTTCAGGTTATTCAGCGTATAAACTTCACTGTCTCCAGTGGTGTCAATACTGATGATATTGAACTGGAAATTTCCGCCTGCACTGTACTCCCGATAACCTATCTGGTATCCACGAATAATTCCATTTTGCAAGTGCTTCTTTGGAGCCTAAATAGAAAATGAAAGATTACACATTGAGTACACATCTCCAAAGTAAAGCTATTCCCCTTAAAATCTTTTAAATATAAGCAAAGTCAAGATTTTTTTCCTACTGAATGCAGGTGTATTCCTAGGTAACAATTAAAAAATATTACCTGCACAAGAAGTAATAAGCATGAAGTAATAAATTTTTACCCTGATACATAAATTTCAGGTGCAGTTTGTTCTAACTTGTGCATTCTTATGTTAAGAGAAAGACGTTTAAATGGTTCATACACAGAAAAAACAGATAACGAGATATTCTTGAGTTATAATTTGAATTCATAATGTTTTGTTCTCTTATCAGGTGAATCAATCAAGGTTGAGTTGATAAGGATATATTTGCATTACAGGCCTACTGTTCACTATTAAGTATTTTTGCAAAAAGCCCCTACCATTCACTCACTAAATTTTTAGTAAGGCATTTATTAATCTGTTCAAAGCAATCGCATAAGTTTATTCAGCTAGATGCATTAGGAAAATTTTACACTGTGCTTTGAAATATGCTTCTGTAGTGTGGAAAGATGATTAGATAATGAGTGCTGAAGGCAATAATGAATTGGAAAGCAGGGATTTGCATACTGAATAGCTACTAAAACAAGGTGTACAATATCTGGCATTCAAGAACACAGAGAGTACAGAATGCTTGGCCATAATTATGCACCGTATTTCTTAGTCACAGTGCAAGATTCCCTGTACCTGACTAGTGGAAATAATTTCTGCACTCTGCAAAATAGAATACAGTCTAGAGCAAAGGATTGACAGCTCAGGAAAAAGACTGTTATTGACAGAAATACCCATTAAAATTCCATTTAAATACTATTGGACTATTTCCAACATGTGATAATGTTCCTGTCTGGTTTGCTATGTATATGAGATATTATTAGTATAAACATTTTAAGGCACACTTTATAATCCACAGAGAAAAAGCTTTTTTAAGTCCTCCAAACTTCTTTCAAATTCCCACCAGATGCCCACAAGCTCATCTGTTCTGCTGACCCATGAAAAAGGTCTTTGTGACGTAGTTTATTAACAGTGAGTTAGACAAGCAGAGGCAGCAATTTCTGTTGTTACTATATCCCATTAAATCTACTGAAGAACACATTCTGAAGAAGAATACTATTTTCTGCCACAGGACCTGTCAGTTTGAGTGAGTTTATAGTCCACTCTGCGAAAGTCTTACTGAAGCTAATAAAACCAGAGTGGGATTTGCCTTTCATCCACTACCAGCAAATCATTGCTCTGCAAAACCAGCACCCTTTCTGTATTTGAAATGTATCATTGGATGGATCTGAATGCTTGAATTTTGTCTTCAGATGCTTTCTTTGAATTTTATTTTCAAATGCTCCCTCCTGCCTTCAGAAACAGAAACAAAACTTGAAGCAAGGATTTAATTTCCACTGTACTACTTCAGTTCCTCTAGTGCTAACAAACTCTCTGCAAGCATGGTGCTGTTCTTTCAGCGGTAGATGAGCAAACTAGGAAATTCAGGTCTTGAGCACCTTGTAAGGCATACTGCAGGGATTAGAACTGTGGTTTTGGAATCTAGAGGTGCAATTGTTTCCTGTTTCAATATTTGTGTGTTTTGTTGGGAAAAAAAACCCCAACCCCCTCGAACAAACAACCACCCAACTTCTTTACAAACATGTAGGTGTTATCAAAACACTTTGTTTGCAAGAGCAAGTACTATTCTGAATGGCTTCATGATTATTCAGTGATTGCAAAAGATTTTTTTTTAAGCTGGACTGTGGGGTAGAAACTAAGGTTCAGCTTATATTTTGTTTGAAATTCAGATATCTTCATAACGTGAAGCTTTTTCATTCCATCTTAGAAGAAACTAACTATCGCATTTAAATAATTTAAATATTTCAGGGTGAATTTTTTCATTAGTTGAAGGATTTCAAATTCTATTACTAACCATGACATTGTGCACAGCTCATATATTTTTATAGGCAGTGCTGATGGGAAAGGGCAAAAAAATGAACCAACATAATCTAAATATTTCAAATTGATTAAAGGACACACAATCTGGACAAAGCAGCAGACAACTCAGGTGTTGTTACAGGGAGGATTGCTTTCAAACAATGTGGCAGGCGTAGAGGCACCATTTTAATCATGCCAGGACACCAGTTCTCTCCAACAGTGTTGGATGCTATCGTAGCTTGGCAAATCCTCAACAGTTTGCGTGGAGATTTCTTGTCTCGAACATTAACATGCTCATGGTCTCACATCTCAAGAACTAAAGCCTCTCCTAGTTAAAGGCTGAAACTGGAACATTCCCATGAGTTACCATAGGTGTTTTTTGAGCAAAAGTTGTTGCCACAACACACACTGCACATGGAAATCACAAGCAACATGCTTAGAACACATACACTCCATGTATTGTTTCGTGCATTTATTGTTTTGTGAATGGCATATGCTGCCTACTGCCAAATACAGCACATATAAAGATGCTGTATGTATGTACGCTATATACCATGAGGCATGCACTGTATACCAAGAAAAAGTGAGCATAAACTTGGTGAATAATAGATTACAGAAACATATAGCACATATATTGGAACACATACATCATACTGTAAAACATATGGAACAGAATGATAAAACTAAATCAAACATTTACCAGGCACTGTAATATTTTCAGAGCAGGACTATTGCCAGCATAGCCTCTTCACTGGGAATTCTCCAATTATGCACTTTCTCATTTTGAATTTGAATAAAATGGCAAATTTTGCATTCTTCATGAAACATCTCCATAATTGTTCTAGGTCATGGGATTTTTTTATTTTTTTCTCTTTAAGACATTATACAATATAAAACAAGCTCAAAGTCACTGCAGAGCAGAGCTGAAATGTTCTGCTCCAGAAAACTTCAAATGTTCCTTGTTAGTACTATCTAAACGCTTCATTTTTAGATAGACTTTTTGCACAAATAACTCATATTTTCTATATACACCTTCTGGTATATATACTCATTTTTGGTAGAAAAGTCAGAGAAGCAACATTTGTCTGTGACTAAGTGTTCATGGGAAAAAAAATTGTTAACCTTGTCTGCAGTCACCAGGAAAAAGTAAGTTTCGGTCCATGATCTTACTGCTTGTCTCACAAAATCTAAGAGTTGTAAAATAGGGTATCAACGACTTTTGTAAAGTGTGACCTTTTATAGTTCTGTGTATATGCATAAAGAGGGGAAGGAATATTTCCCATGTTAAATTTAATGGGTTCATTTACCTTGTAAAGTACTACAAGAAAAAAATAATTAATATCTTCATGCTCTTTACTAAATGAGAATTCCTGTTTAATTCACATTCTCTCTGCACAATTTTAAACTACTAAAAAGTGCTGAGTATTATTTAAAAATCCAATATAAACCCCAATGTTCTATGTAGACACATAGAAATCAGATTAAATAGATCACAGACCTATAAAACTTTGCTTAACTAGGATTTTCTAAAAGTGGGATAAGACAAAATTTAAGAGTGACATTAATGACTCTATCAAGCTGCAGAAATAGAATTTAATACAAGATGAAAGATATTTGATGCATTATTCTCTTCTCCTTTTCCGATTATTGACACTGTCTGTATTTAAACGAGGTTTGCCAACTTTAAATATAACTAAGGTTCTTAACACAATCCCTTTTGTATAATGGCAAACACTCCACATGCCTCCAAAATAAAAATGACCATATTATTACTGAGTTTATTTTCTTCCTTTTTTTTGCCTCCATGATTGATCTCATGGTTATTTCTTTATTCTTAAATACTTTGTATTGCACAATGCAGTGAGTGTCTTCTGCACAGCAGTGCATTGTAGAGACCTATCCAGAAGCCAGGATTCAGCGTGGGACTGAAATATATTATGTCTTTGGGACCATCTTAAAGTACTTTTTTGAATAATGAACTAAGACTGCTCTGGCTGGGAAAGAACTGCAATAATTCAAAGGAAGCAAATGGCTCACTCCTGGTTTGGGACTTCTTAATTAGCAGGACTTCTTAATCAGCTGTTGCAAATAGTCATTCAGGAAATAATTCTTCTAGTAAAGGTAGGACTCTGCAAGCAGTAACCTTTCAGGAAGGTTTTGTTTCACTTCAGCCAGCAGGTAAGCCTGTGGCTAGTGACTACATGTCTTTTGATTTTGGAAACCATTTGATGAAAACTAACACTGATATAAATTTAAGAATCACAGAATCATACAATGGCTAGAGTTGGAAGGGACCTTAAAGATCATATAGTTCCAAATACCCTGCCATGGACAGGGACACCTTCCACTAGACCAGGCTGATCAGAGACCCATCCAACCTGGCCTTGAACACTGCCAGGGATGGGGAATCCACAGCTGCTCTGGGCAACCTGTTCCAGTGTCTCAACACCCTCATAGTGAAGAATTTTTTCCTAATGTCTAATTTAAATAATCTCTTTATCAGTTTAAAACCATTCCCTCTTATCCTGTCACTACATGCCCTTGCAAAAAGCCACTCTCCAGATTTCTTGTAGGCCCCCTTTAGGCACTGGAAGGCTGCTATAAGAGAAGAGCCTTCTCTTCTCCAGGCTGAACAAGCTCAACTCTCTAAGCCTGTCTTCTTAGGAGAGGTGCTCCAGCCCTCTTTGTGGCCCTCCTCTGGACTTTCTTGAGCAGGTCCACGTCCCTTTTATGTTGGGGGCCCCAGTGCTGAATGCAGTACTCCAGGTGGGGTCTCAAGAGCAGAGTAGAGGGAGAGAATCACCCGTGTTCCTTTTCATGCAGCCCAGAAATAGGCTGGCTTTCTGGGCTGCAGGCACACACTACCGGCTCATGTTGGTCTTCTCATCAAATTACATCCCCAAGTCTTCTTCTCAGGGCTGCTTTCAATCCCGTCTCTGCCCAGACTGTAGATGTGCATAGGATTGCCCTGCCCAAGTGCACTATCTTACACTTGGTCTTTCTGAAACTTCATGAGGTCTGTGCTGCCCCAGCTCTGAAGCCTGTCAAGGTCCCTTTGGATGGTACCCCTTTCCTTCAGCATGTCAACTGCACCACACAGCTTGGTGTTGTCAGCAAACTTGCTGAGGGTGCACTCAGTCAGTCAATAAGAATCAATAAGATGTGGACAAGATCCAAAATAAGCACTGTTATCTGTGACCTGTGTGTAACAGGTCTGATGAAGACTACCGCTTTTGAAGCTTAATGCTGAAATTTCCCATCAAAACAGAAATTTTAATGCACCATTTATAAAACACCAATGAACTACTCAAAAAGCTTGACAGCTGAGGTCCTCCTGTACTAGTTGGAATATCTGTAATTATATGTCTACCTATGCTGCACAGAGATCGTGCACTGTAGAAACCTGTCTTTCCAGGAACCAGCTCACATCTAATACAGGATCATGCTGGTTATTTATGCATTAAATAACCTTGCTGCCCACAGTTATGTATATGCTTAATAAGTAGCAGCTCATTGCTGCTTTCTGACTTCTGGATGGTCCATATAATGGGGTGAAAGACACATCATCTACATTTGCAGGAGTAATTCACATCACTATTATGCCACATCCCACTCCAGCACTTAATACTACATATTTCAGAGTCTTAAATATATGGAATTATAAATACAATTTGGAAACTGCCATTCATATTGAGATTATGCTACTGTAATTAGGTAGCTTTATTCTGTCTGCTAAAAAGTACAAGGAGTATATATTACAAAACCATTTAAAGCTTGGTTTAAGTACCTCTGTTATCATACCAAAAGCATTTAAAATATTCTGTCATTGTCAAAGCACTGGGCAAAATCTAGAAAAAATGAATTGATTCATAAGACATGCCAGATTTTTATATATCTGTGGCTGATATTTTTAAATCGGTTGCTCTGATTTATCAGTTCTCATATTGAGACACTTTACTGCTTTCTCTGTGCAGACATGCCTTCAGTAAGGCTCTGTCCCAAAGTCCACTGCAGTAGGAAAAAATTTCCATTGGCTCCAATGATTTGGGGAAATTTTGCCCCAGACCAAAGTGAAATTTTATGAGTGCTCATTTCCAAGCATGTAGCCTTCTATTTGAAATCAGAAAGAAGTAGGAAATGTTCTAGGCACTAGTACAGGCAAGCAGCTGCTGCTATTATTATCCAATGGAAGGTTTGTTCTTTGCATAATGCACCATTCTTAATGGCAAATATTTTAAGATTTGGTGGCAAAGGCATCTGCAAGGACTCTCCTAAATAAAATAACCGATCCCCAGTTGTTTTAATACTCCTCTCAATGAAACCTCCTTGAATGCACCAAAATACTGTCAGTCTACATTCTTGGACGTGTGCATATTTACCTTCCAGGTGACCCTAATGCTTTGTGAAGATATAGGTTCTAGTTGGACATCCTGAGGCGGCCCATCAGGAGCTGGAAAGAGAGAAGAGAGGTGCATCAAAACTGTTCCTCATAGCCCACAGAATTCAGCCCTTCACATAGCACATCACCGTCTTAACACACCAGCATCACAGAGATTTGGACTGAGTCAATGTTATATGGAAAATTGCAGACACAACTTCATTGAACAAAACTAGAGCATAGCATCTTCCTATTCAGGTGTCATGTCTGACCACCAGTGAAATACAACACATGCTAAAATATAGCAACCTAGTAAATAAAGTAAGAATGAATAATAATGACTTCTCATGTTTAGTGATACACTCACAATGCTCTGTTTTGTAAGTAGACAAGACATATTTTCAAGAGTCAGAACCCTGTGGGTGATAGAAAGACAGCAGAACCGATTTGAAAGCAAGTGAAACAGGAGCTCCTTGGCCAGCCTTCATGTTGCACACTTCCCAGTGGGATCGGCTTTGTTCATTAGTGACTGAGCATATTCAGCCAAATATCAAATATTTTATACGCAAAAAGCTGCACACTTTACCCTCTCCCTCTCTCCATTGTAAGTATTTCAGCCTGGAAATCAGACAAAAAATACCTGCCAGATAGAAAAAGCATGCGTGAGTCAGGAAGAGTTTCATTTAGTATCAATATGCTGCCAAGGATGTGCATGAAGCTTTAAAGGCAAATGAAAAAAAGAAGACCCTGAGTCTAGGGGAACCTACTTGTCAGCTGGGCAGCTACAAAGCAGATCAAGAATTGGCTGGGATTGAACAGAGAGATCTGAAGTAAATTGCTTGCTCAGTGATGTAAATCATTGTAAAAGAAAGATCTGAAGAAAGGAATGGAGTCATCTTGAGCTGCTGTAGAGGGTTCCCTTGGTGCAGAATATGGCCTCAGTAAAAGGTATTAAATTAAGTTTAATAGCATGACAAAGGAAGTAAAGCAATAAAAAGGGTGAGATGGGGCTGTTAGAGGTGGAGCAGCAGTAAATGACAGCTGTGGTGAAAGGAACCAGAACGTATTGCTCTAACTGATGAAAGCAGAGACCCAGAATACAGCCTATAATATGTTTAAGTTATTAAATATGCCCTATTCTGTGCCATTCTTACTGTCCTTCAGATGGGAAATTTCCAAAGGTTGAAAAGACTTTATTTTGAATTCTTGCTGCATTACTGTACAGGAAGAAGAAGAGGAAAAATTCTACTGTCAAAAATGAGATCACTCAGAATTTTTTTAACCCTGTCCTTGATTCTGGCCCCTGTTGACAAACATGAATGGCATTTCTCCAGGTACATTATAATGTAGTGGAATTAGAACAAAGCATTTAATCTTAAAAATGGGATCTAAAATGTGCTTCTTAAAATATTGACTTTTTCTTGAAAGACCCCAAAAGTTTTCCAGACTGGAGTAGGTAACTGTTCCCAGAATACCACAGTGAAATGTTAAATAAGAAGTCATTTAACAAATATATTTAATGTCATACAGACTTTGTGGCAAAGACATAAAGAAAACCCAGATATCCCAGCTTCCTATATTGATTTTTTCAGTATTAAAAACCAGCTATGATGCTTTTTATTCCTGACAAACACTAGTGCAAGTGGGTACTTACAGTCCATTTTCCAACATAGGAGCTAACCATGGTTGTATCGAGTGAAAGAGGTGGTCTGTAAGCTTTGAAATCATGACATTCTTGACTACCCTTTTGCTACAGAGACCCCTTACATTTTTCTTTCTAATAGCTAGTGCTGGGTGACTCAGGTCATATACTGCACCCCCTTGCCAATAGCATGGTTTGGGTCGTCCAGTTTTTAGATTGTCTTTCTTGGACCTTTATTTTTCTCTTTTCTCATTACCTTCTCTCTCATTCCCTGCATCCATGTTGTTCTCCATTTCCTATTGTAAAGGCAGAGAACAGAAGTAAACAGTGATCAAATAAACGGTGCTCCTGTACATCACACACCATCTGAAATAAAAATCCAGGAGACAAACATCACATGCTCTGCCTAAGCCTGACCTCCTCTCTTCCAATTGTTACCTAGGTAGATCAGTGATTTTTGAAAAAGTTTCACACTGTTGGTCTTTTTCTCCAAATAGACGTCTCCTTTAAAGACAGTAACAAAAGGATCAATTATTCTGAATCTTGGTTACAAAGAACTGAATAAAATGCGATGTTAAGGTTCCACCCTGTTCATGGGGAAGCTGTTTTTTAATTTCAAGGCCAGCTGCTGATCCTGACAACTTAATTAGCAGACAGGAAAAATTCAACAAGTAAGAAATATCCCAAGCATAGGTAAATAGGAGAATGAGAGCCAAGAGCCACCCCTCTACTTTGATCTATATGCACAAGGAAGAATGTGCATTTTGGGGATACAGGTGATGCTGACCAGAAGAATGGATAGTCTGTTTTCTCTAGTGATTTCACATTTTCATTGAACAAAGGAAGAGAAAAATCCTCATCAAATGATGAATATTTTGCAAACTATTTACCATTAATAAAGCTGTTCACTGAAGAATATTCTTTCACTGGGATGAAAAAAAATACCTGGTGAAAAAAGAAATGCAGCAGATATTTGTCTCCTGCTTATTTTGCTTTTCACTGTAAGCCCCTGGATCTTGTTCTTATTCAGCAAGTCCCTTGAAGACAAAAACATGTTCTTCTGACAAGGGGTATATTTTCACTGTAGTAAATTCACCCACAGAGAAAATGTGTGGGAATTACACAGCTGTATTCATATGAGCTGAACTGAAAACTGGTCACTGAGTGTTCAAAGACTAGACCAACATGAATCTTGAAAAAAAGGTAGGAATTTTCACTGCCAGAATACTGCTACCCAGATACTTGCATTACAGTTTTCCTCTCAAAATTCCTAAAGAAGGAAGCACTGCCAACTCTATATAAGGTAACATGAAAAATAAAATTAGCAAGATAAAGACGTGTTTTCAAATACAAGTGGCACGCTCCTTTCTGGCCAAGACTTCAGAGTAGTTCCATCTAGTTTTAGTGGCCTAAGGATGCTGAAGCTGCTTAGGTTACTCTCAACACCTTTCTACATTGTATGCAATTGGAACATATGCCTGGCATAATTATTCATGGCTAGTCACCATTTTCATTCCTAATTTCTGAAATAAAGAGCTGTAGCTCTCTGCTTTTCACCCACAAGTAACATGCAGGACTTGGGACATGGTAGCATGCACAAGGTTATGCTGGCCTTATCTGTCTGCCACTTCAGCTAACTCTGAGAAATAAGACAACACTGGAAGGCAACAATTTGAGTACCCAAAAGAGTGGCTTTAGTCACCAAAGTGAAAATGCCCACACAGCCCTCCTGGTACTGAAACCTACAATGATGTAGAAGATTACATGGCAACAAAGAACGGGAGGATAACATTTAACTGATGACAGCCAATTGACTTATACAGCAATCAGAAAACAATGGTAAGTGGGTTGGGGGGTAGAATAGTCAAAGAAAGATTTGATTCATGTCAATCAATGTTACCAATGGGTTAGCTTAAATTAGTTACCTATACTAATATCTGAGCCTCTAAGGAAACCCACAAGACCCACAGGGGAGGAACCACCACTAAAACCAGGATGATGTTGATTGAATTGCCTAACTGTAGATATTAGTGTGCTGTTTCCAGTACACCAGGCTGAAAATTTGAGCACAATGTCTTCTTTGACCACTAGATGCCACTGAACAGCTTTAATTATGGGCCTGCACAATGAAGTTGATAAAGCAACAGTGTTTTATGAGAACAATTCAGTATTTCTTTTGATGCAGCTGTAGCAACACAAGAACCATTTCAGGTAAAAATTCTTTATGTTAAAGAGCAATAATTTCAACTTGATTTATATGCTACAAAATCAGAGCGTACCTGCTTCATCAGTAGTGATGGTGAGCTCATTGCTGGCCTCACTCTTGCCGATGCGATTCTTGGCATACATGCGAATGTTGTAAGTTGAGGAAGGGTGGAGGTCAATGATAGTGGCTTGGTTTAGCTGAGGGGAAACATCTTTGGTCCTCTGAACAGAATCCCAAGAGTCTATTTAATAAGAGATTAAAATAAAACAGAGAAATAAAAGATGATATTAACGTCACTAACATGAACTTGCAGTTAAACTCTCACATAGCAGGATACTGCCATTGCTGAATCAACCCAGCAAATGCCTGCTGCTACAAGCAAATTGACTGATCCCCTTCTTTGACAGCATTCCAACTGCTCCTAGTATGGTGCTGTGAACAATGGGATCTCAGCTCTGGGGTCATCAGCATATCCAGTGAAATAGCTAGTCCTTTGACTTATTTTGAGGGGATGGTGAAAGCAGCCAAGATTCCCCAGGTTTGTGTGTATACATGTTGTTTTTTCACCATTGCTACACTGGAACAATAGTGAAAAAGATGGGAGCTGCTGCCCTGAAGAGATCCTCACTCAAGGAGAAGATTAGTTGTGCTCCAAAAAGGGGGTAAACAGAGTTAATAAACAGGAATGTAGGGCTCAGACTAGCAGGGAGATCAGGCAGAAATTTTGATCTGAAACTCCAGGAGCTCAGACCATAGGCCAACAGTGAGGACAAGCTTGGAGTACTTAAACACAGAGCCCAGCACCCTCCAGGGCTGGTGCTATTTCCCTGGCTTGTGGTAGGATGCAGGAGCAGTTTAATACAAGGGAAATGTAGAACCCTCTTAGCTGTTTGCATGTATCTGTAAAAAGAGGAGCACATTGTTATTATTCATGCTTATTATTCATCTGTCTGTTTTAATAAATTCTCCAGACCTATAATAGGAAAAAGGATAGAGATGGACTGAACACAGTAACTCCTCCTTTTTATCCAAGCATGCAATTGCTGCAAACAATATAATAGAATGTATCCGTTTAAAGCATCTTGATGTCTTTTACGAGTTGCTATCCTTCATTTCTTTCTTACTGCAGGGGATGTTCCTCCTTTAACCTCTGCAGCTTCCTATGGGGTATGTCATTGGAGACTCTACAGGAATGTTTTACAGTATGGGTCACTGCAGACAGGATCGCAGAAAGCTCAGCAGATAAGAAAGACTAGTTTAAAAATAGAAAGCTCACTCAGATACAAAATATTTGCGCATGCTATGTAAATACTTTTATATGAGCTTGCTAAAAGATGCATAAGTTGTCACGATGACATCTGCAGCTTGGCTGACTACAGGGCCTGTTCGCTTGTCCGTGTGGCTTTGTTTACCCAATAAACATTTAGGAATCAGACATGAAAGTGCTAACCAGATTCACTTGAATGTATTTTTCCTTGTTAACTGAGTTTGTCACAGTTTCCTCTGTAGGATACTTTCAGAAGCTCTAAAGTAGTTACCGGCAGGCAGCGCTGTGACAACTTGGTTTCAGTTTGCTACAACTTTGTAAAATTTCTTAAACTTTACAGAATTTTAACCAACAGTTACACTCCATGGTGTTAAATCTTATACTAGCACAGAGGGAGACTCTGTTCTAGTGTACCACACCAACAGGAAATGCATTTTAAGAAAAGACCTGCTTGGTATGGAGAATTGTGCTAAATTTCCCTTGAGGATGATGAGAATTTCTTTTAATTTAGTCTGTATATTACCAAATTGCTTAATTTAACACTTGGTTGTTTGAAATACCAACCTCTGAGTGGCAGGACTCTGTAGTACATATTAGCTGCTGAAATCAAACAAACGAATTTGAAAAATTCTGGTGATTCTTAGCAGATTAAGTAATGACACACCATGAAGAAAGAGATTTATGAAAACGTAGGTCTCCAGTGTTTATGTACAACTCATGCATGGATTTCAGGTGTATATTTTGATACATGCATCCCCTTCTTGAAGGGTAAAATAAAACAACAAAATCCCTCCAAATTGAACCAGCCCAGAGAGAAATTAACCAATTTCTTTCCAAAACTGTTTTCAGTTTTGAAAATTTTAAGTGTTTATAAGAATAATGGGGAAAAAATAAAGAAGTTAATTTTGTTTTCTTTTGTCAAACCCTAAAAATATTTGGTGGTGTCCACGTGGTGAGTAATTGAGTGAGGTACTGAGGTTGACTGTTGGCTCTTCTGGTTTTTACTGTTGTTCCAGAGAGCTCTAAAATCCACTTAGAATGAAAAAGCACAGAAGACAAGCAGCAGTGGGCTTTGGAAGGAAAAAAAATAAAACAGCTAAAAGAAAAAGTGGAGATTTTAACGTATTTTGTATTCCACTCATAAATGTTACACCCAGACACCACTCTGGGATACATAAAATACATACTGGGGCACTGATCTACGAAAAATTTATGACAGGAAAACCAGCAGCTTCCCACCCATTCCTAAAAGGAAGACCCAGAGCACTAGGGTTACTGTGCTGCTCCGAACAAGCGGCTGCAGCTCGAGCCGGGCTGGTGCTGCCGCCCCGTGGCCATTTCCGGTACTACACAGCCCCGCCGTGGGCAGGCGTGGTGGGAACCCCCAGTTCTGCGAAGGAATCTGTCCCCTGAAGGATGCTCTGTTCACACGTGAGCACAAGAAACCGCAAAGCACGGTCTTCTCCCTTCAGGTCAGGGCTTAAGCTGAACTGATGTTCAGTTTTGTCCTCAGCTTTCCCTCATGACGTAAAAAATAAAAAGGATAAGCAGAAAGGCACAAAGACGTACACACATAGCTTTTCCCAATGTCAAACCTTTTCGTACACCTCCAGTGGAAATGTTGGATGGCTACACAACAGTGGTTTCAATGAGGGGTACAGGTGCATTTCTGTACAGACAAGCACTGGATCTAAATACTGAAACAGCCTGAAAAGCTGAGCTCCCACTGCTCACATTGCGCCTGCATGGCAACTAGACCCTACAGATGCCACCTACCCAAATGACAGACAACTGCATGCTCCTTCTAGAGAGTAAGCAACGTGTGTTTTTTGTCTAAATGTACTGCAGGGGTAAATTGGATACCTGAGGGAAGCACCATATAGTGAAGTCCATGTGGTCACCAGTACATTCTCTGAAAAAGGAAAAGTTCTGCAATTTTCCATCTTGAGAAACCTAGATGTTGCATCCTGCTGTAAACTCACTTCTGAGTCCTCAGGGTAAGCAACATTGGTAGAAAATTCTTACTAAATGCAACTGTGCAGTTTACAGCTTTAGTTTGGCCTTGGCAGGATGTTCCCTCAGCTTTCCATCTGGATTGTGAATGTTTTACCTAAGTTTTCTTCTGTCCCTGTAATAATCTGGAAATTGTGAGCAGCTTTCTTAATTCCTTCTTCTTTGTTCCAAATTCCTTTAACTACCCTGTGTAAGTTCTTCAGTAACCAGGTTTGATGTTTCATTTTCTTGACTATATATATAATTAATGACAAAAATCCTGTGCAAGAATTCAAAAGTCCAGTCCTAGTTTCTCCAAAGATTCAGCCTTAGATTCTAAAAAATTATGTTTCTATTGTTTGCAGTGAGATGAAGGAAATCCGCTCTTTTTAGGAAATGAACTCCAGTATTTGTCTTCATATGCAAACAAAGAAATACTTTCTCCAACACTAATCCTGCCAACCACTATTTTTGATTTCTTTCAATTTTTTTAACCTTTATCACTATGTTGTGTTTTGATGTTTTCATTTAGTCTGATGGTGCCTTATTTGCTGTCTTGCTATTGATTTATCATGCCATATTAGAGAGACATACTTTTGCAAAACAAGCTCACAGTGATTACCACTTCATCTTTGCCTGTATTCTGCATTATCACTTGAAAGCAGTGAACTAAATCTAACAAAGATGTTTTAGAGCTCTATAATCTTTCAGGTACTGTGCTCACCTGTACAATATCAATTTCATTTACAAAGCAAATGCAAAAATGGTAACTAATGATTTAACACTCTTGAAGATATTTTATCTAGTAGATAAAGCATCACAAAATTTTTGTCTAAGTGAAGCACAAAGGAAATATACAGTGTAGACAAGTGAAGAATAGAAAAGATGAGTAGTAGAATAGTTTTTGAGAAACCTTGGCAAATTTTAGAATTTTATGAACAAGTATGTTTTTCTATCTCAGAACTAAAGGGAGAAGACTGTAAAGGTACTGCAGTTGCATTGATAAACAGAATGCTTCACTGATAAACACACAGAACATTCCTATTAGTAGACTATATCCCCTTTCAAATAGTGCAAAAAACTCCAACATGAAACAGTGCAATATTTCTCAGTGTCTTTTTAATAATACTTGAAATATGAAACATTGTTCCATTGCAATTTCCTTGCTTGTCCTTTCTCAAATCATGAAAGGGGGTAGACTAAGATTAAATGTTAGGAAGAAGTTCTTCACTATGAGGGTGGTGAGACACAGAGAGATTGTCCAGAGAATTTATGGATGCCCCATCCCCTGGAAGGCTTTCTTCACCTTAAAATTCTCTTAATTACCCTTTTCCACTGCTAATTCCAGGGAGGATGCCATGTACTCATATATTGACAGAAACTAACTTTTTAAAAATCAGCACTACAAGAAAAAATAGATTGTAAAGGCAGGTGGTTTTTTCTATAGGGAAAAAATAAAACTTGAAAATTAAAAAAAACCCAAAAACATCCAAACGGAGAAAAGATAAGAACAGGTACCAAGAATCAGCTAGCAAAACCATACCAACTATCAAGCTATCACCTGGAAAGGCTTATTTTTTTGACACAATTTTTCCCCTTACTTGTAGTTTTCTCTGGTAAAAGGGAAAAGCAGCAGTTGCTAAATTAAATGTCTTTACCTCAAAAAAAAAAAAAAAAAAGAAAAAGAAAAAGGAAAAAGAAAAAAAGACAACAACGAATGAACAAATGAAGATAAATTTTCCTGTGGAAGATTAAATAAACCATGGTAAAAATTTCCATCAGGCAGTTTCAATTTATGAATTATCTTTTACGATACAGACTCAGTGATGAATGACTAGTGATGGGGATTACTCCAGAGGAAGATTATTTCTTACCCGACTTGTTCTTGCACTCGATATCATAGCCAGTGATTGGGCTGTTCCCATCAAATCCCATGGTCCATCTGAGGGCAATACTGCGTGCTCTCACTTCTCTGATTTCTATTTCAGGAGGGTCGGGGGGCTCTGAGTAAACACACATGCACAGTTTTAGTCAGAAGTAAGCCTGTACTCTTAATGAGGTGACATTAATGAGTGTGGCACTGGCATAGCTTGCTGGTGGTAAGCTCTCATGGCATTTTCTCTGGTCACTCATTAGTACCTGAGCCAGTTAATCACCTGCTGAAGAATACTCAATGAAAGGGAGGAAAGGTCAATTTTCAACTAGGAGTCACTGATGTAATCTTGAATACTGACTTCTGTTTAACCTTCTTATATGCAACCTAGAGCTGCGTTTGCTTAAAAGCACTCCAGACTGGACTTCTCATGCTAGAAAAGATTTTTGCCTTGAACACTATGTTTCACTGATACTTCCACAGTTTTTACACAAAAGGTGATGGTAGAAATATGAATACTAATCTTAAAAGTGCTAAATTGGGTAGGGGAAGGGAGTAGGATTTCTATCTCATTGAGTAGGTTTAAAAGTATTCATTTAATAGCAGAATAATTTGATAACAGTATGAAATTACACTAAAGCCTTTTTCTGCCCTTAGAATAAAGGTTATAAAGAAATAGCATTTATAGCCATTCTAATGCCCCTCTAAATTGTCATGGCAGTTTAAATGAGCAGTGGTGTAACTGAGAACCTGTCCCCAAACTCCACCTGAATTATTTGACACAGCTGCCATAGGCATTCACTGAAATCTGCTGTTTCAGTGATTCATTGAAATCTATTGTTTCGGTTTCTGCTGTTTTAAATCAAGAGTAGGGAGAAAGAAGTTTGCAAGTCCTAAAAATCTGTTGCGTGCATGCTCAAAGGCATACAAGTACAGGGACAAGCATCGCACAGAGAAGAAAGCAGTAGCCAGTGGCTGACTCCTGCCTGTGCTCTGTATCTCACACTGTCACCTCTACCACCAGGACTTACTGCTCTCTGCCTGAGTGAAACCTTGCATGAGGGGAACCCCAACCCCAGGCAACATAAGTTCCTAGAGTTTGCGATGCAAACTAATTACAATTTATTTTGATTGATTAAATTTGAAGTATTCTGTTTAAAGATCCACAGTAGGTTTAGCATTTCTCTAGAGATAAAGTCAGATCACTTTTGCTTTGTTTTGCTCTCAGGGTTTAGGTACATTTGTTCTTTAACAGCAAATGCAGACCTCTCCCCACAAAAAGTAGCCTCTTCATATCCACTGTCCCTACTGAAGATGATAGTCTTAAGTATATTTAGCAGATTGTCGGCTAGTGTATTTAAGAAAAAAAATCTTTTTATCAATTTGTACATATGTAGAATGACTGAAGCTTATCCTATATTTTGATTTAATCTTTGATGCTGGAAAATGAAAGACTGAGCACCTTAATGAGGCTCCTCGTTTCTTTGACAATGAGGAATACATTTAACTAGGAATCAGAGCCTCCCTCCCCCAACAGATTTCTGAGATGGCATACACTTACTGTACTACAATAGCTGTGTTTTTTTCCTTATGTTGTCCTCTTCCTACCTTGCACAGTGAGCTGAATTATTCCACGATCCTCCCCATAAGAATTGATGGCATGGCAGGAAAAGAAGCCAGAATCTTCACGCACAGTTGGCAAAATCTATAGGTGATTTGAAAAGAAGTGATTGATTGAACAGCATGTAGAGAAAATAAACCAACAGCTTTTCTGTATGGTGCAAGAAAAATTGTACAAATTGTTTTACTGGAGAGAAATAAATAGATATTGTGTGTCATACACATACATACATATGCATAGTAAAATATCTGGAATACTGAGAATTATCAAAACCAGCAACACCTGGGCTGAGGAAGCAGGCTATCTGCTCTACATGTGTAGTCAGGAGTTGGAGCACCGCCTAGTCCTGTAGCTTCTCATTAGGAGTCTTGTTTCCTGTAGCTCCTAAGTTTGCCAAGTATTTAACAGTTGGTTCAAATTTTCCATACAAAATGGTGCCTCCCACTGCCTCCATTTTTTTCCAGTTATTTCTAAATGTAACTCAAGGCTGTGTGGAGGAAATAAGTTTCAAACATTGGTGGTGAACCCTGCAGTATTAAGCATGGTGCCTCATAATAAAATTTTGAGTGATCTTTCTTTTCAGTTTGTGATTTAATAATGTAGAAAGTTACACACAATCTTTACGTACATGATCATAGTGATATTTTTCTACAGGACCACTGCTTCATTCAGCTTACGATAGGGAGAGTATTTTTTTAAATGAGTAGATATTCCAAATATCATTTTCTTCCCATTGATCAGTGTGTGCTGCTCCACACTTTATTTACTGCACACAGTTCAAATTGTGCCCTGAAGATAGACTTATTCATTTTCTCATAGCCTTTTCTGTGGATTCACCTATGCAATACCCATTTCAGAAACGTGAGTGAATTTATTTTCGTAAACATTGACATCATGAAATGTATTAACACCATTTTGTATGGGGAATTAAGAAACCAGACATATGATAATATTTGTGACTGCTTGACAAGTTGTCACATAGTAGCTGAGCCATAGTAACTCCACATTCTCTTTATTCCTCAGGAAAACCAAGGTAATGTGAGCACAGCTCTCATTCACCACTGGTTAAGATAAATGGATTAATTTCCCACTCGCTACGAGGATGTTGGAGAGTTATCACCTGAGATGTGGTAACTTGTCAAGCTGTGTTAAGTTGCACATGTGGCTGAGCTAAAGATAGGAAAACAAAATTTTTCTGAGCCCAATTTGATACATCTAGGGCCTTCTTCCCCCCTGCTCAGAGTTCTTAGAATAAATAGCTTTTCATGTGTTCATAACAGCTTCCATTGAGTTAAGCTGCAGCTATGAGGGCTTAGTACTTCTGCAAATCAGACCCCAAGGGCTCAAGGCAAGTACCTAGAAAACAAAGAGCACACAATTATTGGCCACCTGTGAAAAGTTTGGTTTCAATGATCAGCCTTGCATCACACAGTGTCTTTCATTACTTAACTCTAATTCAACTCCAGAGAAAATCCAAGTCATGCCTCACTGAGGCAGGGGTCCTGCAGAAAAAATAAAAGCTGAGTATACAACTAAAGATCACATAATCATGCACACATGCAAAAGCACTGAGTTAAAAGCTTCAGAGACAACTGTAATGCTGACATTTCTACTTTTGGGACATTTTATCTCTCAGAAGTCAAAGGTTTTGTATGTAACATACATGTAGTTGTAGAATGCCAGTATCCTACACAACTGCTTCAGAAGCAAATTCTCTAAGCAGGTCTCCAGCCTCCCAAAAAGAAATATTGTTGTGCATCTAAGCATCATCTTATTAAAGTCAGCAGGACAGATAAGGGAGAGAAGCCTAGGGGTCTATCCTATAATTAAATATTATTTGTGAGACAAATAGACTAATATGAGCAAAATCACACATAGAACTTATTCTTTCTCACTGAAATCAATGACAAAGCTCCCTCACATAGAGCAAATCCAGATTTTTACTGGTTATCATCCAACACAGTTTTTCGCTACTAAAGAAAGAGATATACCTTTAGAGTTATACTAGAATGTCATCAGACAATCACCAGAGAGACAGAAATTTATTTCCTTGAGCCTAGCAAAAAAATGTTTTTAAGAACATGAATGAAAAATGGAAAATCAAGAATTTTGACTAAGAATCTATATGATTATTTTTTTTTTTTATTTTTAAGCTTTCTGGTTACATAAAGGCACATTTAAAATTATAAAGGAATGGACTTACTCATGCTCGTAAATTTAAAATTTGACTGGAAAAAGCTGTATCCTGGCATGCTGGGGGTAATGTCATAACCACACCTGTTGTAGATGATACCACAAAACCAGGAGTTTCCTGTGCATCTGTGGTATCTTGGGGAAACTTAAGTCCCTGAAACAATAGTGCCACTCATGTAGCCCCTCAAACTAACCCAAGTCAGCCACTTAGGAGTTAACAGAATCCCATATACTGATTTGTCATGCAAGTTGAGGTGCATGGTGCCTACACCACCAAACAGCTGCCTGTCACAGAAGCAGAAGTGAAGATGCAGACTATAATCATTTGCTAGGTAGTTTGGTGACTTCTGCTACTGTGTACAGTAAGTACCAAATATTACTGGCAGCAGTAGATATACTACTTACGTATCTACACATGCCTTTTCCTTCCATCTCATTTTGAATTTGAGGACTAACCTGATTTTGTAAAAGAATATCACAAGCCTCAAAAAGTGGAATTGAGGAAGAAAAAGCAATTTAAAAAGACAGCATTTTTATCTCAAAACAGCTTAATGATTTTGTCGAAGGTAAGCCTGACACACATCAGAGCTAGGGGTCAGATATTCACCCAGTGCTTATCAGAGCTAAGGGTCAGATATTCACCCAGTGCTTATCAGCAGTGTACTCAAAACTGAGCTGTGCTGCCCAGGAAGGGCAGGCTAATGAATGAGCCACATTGCTTCTGAGACAGAAAGAACAGGGAGCTGTAAGCCAGGCTCACTCTCTTCCTGTTTCTGGAGCATGGGAGGATGAAGTCTTTTTTCTAGGGGCTGGGATGAAGATGAATCCTCTACCTCTTGCTGCTAGCTCTCCGGTAGTGCCCCACAGGTGGAGTGAGTGCTGGGGCTTTGATGTTTTAGGGCAGAGGTAGCTATGTGTCCCTATCAAAATAAAATCAAGCAACACTCTCACATACATAGATGAGTTGTGGACCACTTTGTTTTCTTACCTGCAGAGTAGAGATCACTTCATCTCCAACTTCCTTGGTGGAAACAAGGTAACGGGACATTTCAGGGTTAATGATTCGGTCTTCTTTTTCCCAGCGGACTATGATGGGTTTCTCTCCATGTGCCGTGCAGCTCATCTCCTTCTTTTGACCTTGTGTTGCCAAGGTGGTATTTGGATAGGAAGTTATCATAGCTGGAACTAAAACCAAACAAAACAAAAGATTGTTCAGCAGTGAGCTGACTAGTCTGAGGCACGGTTGGCCGTTCAGTCTGAGTCTCATTCAGCTTGTCCATATTTTACCAGATGGCCAAAAATGTGAGAAATTATTTAACTTTCACTCCTGCATTAGAGAATTTTTTTAAGACCAAGGATGGGCCTCAATAGGAACTTAGCAGGGGAGAGCTGGGACTGGACAGTGAGGCTGTAGAGACAAGAAGATGCAAATCCAACAAGAGCCTGGCTCGATTTTTTTTGCTGCTCACAGGACCACTTGTACCATAATTAAAATGTTCACAGTACATAAAAGTATAAGCATTCAGATATGGTGCCAATAACGAACTGATAAAAATTTCCTATTTCTTCTGATGAGCTACTGTTTTATTTGCTGACACATATATGCTCTACCATTTTGTATAACAGTAATGACCCCTCAAAATGAGGGCTCAATTAAAACCACAAGCTGTAGAAATGTAAAAGAAAGGCTCTGCACCAAAGAGCTTAGTCCATGTATGTGCTAAGTACATAGTTAATATGCACTAAATGTACTAAACAGAAAGTATAATTAAACTGACAATAAACCTAGCTAGATTTGAGTTTTATTGTATTCAGAAAGTATTTGCAGAACAGTTCGGAGATAATTGTCAACTTCATTAATCATGTGGGACTTTAAAAAAAAAATAATGTTGGAAAAAAGTACTCTCTTGCAAGCAAGAACAGGCTTTAACCCAAAGTATTTTCACATTTTGGAATATTTCTTTTATTCTGGAAATGGGAAGCAAAAATCCTCAGAGTGTTTTAAAGCAAATCCCTCAAAACATGGCATTTTTGAATCATGATGGTCTCCTTGGTGTCCTCAGTAGTCTGTCCTTTCATTCCCATATGATCTGTCCACCAATGAAGAGCACCTGGGCATTTGTGAATATCAAAGTCCATGAAACTGTCTTTCAGTTCTGGCCCTTTGCCTTCTTTGTCAAAGCTGGAAACCCTTGGACAGCACACAGAACTGCTCTATTCTGAACGAATCTCTCCACTCCTTTCAAAGCATATGAGGTGGCAGTAAAGTCCCTTCTCTAACTCCCTTTTTCACTCCAAGTCTGCCTCTCACAATAGCCCTACTCTCCTTGTTTTTATGCATGAACACTTGCATTTTCTTATCAGAACAACTCACTCATTCTATCTGAACTTCTCTGGGACTTTATTTTAAGATTACATTGGCACAGGACCTTATTTGAGGCCTCCATAGTCTTTCTTTTTGCATAGATTGTATTTATTGCTACCACACAGCAAAAAGAAAAAAACAATCCTTATTTGAGTGAATTACTATAATTGCTATTCTGAAATGTTAATGCTTGGTGGCATGACCTTTTCATGCCAGAGCTGTTGATGTTCAGATATGACAATATGTCAGATTGCAGTTTTTTCTGTTCAAAGGCTTCCTGAACCAAAACAAACCAATTTGAAAATGAACAGACCTGTGGTTAGAGTTATGAATGGGATCTAATTACAGGAAGAACTCTTAGAAAGATTGTGTGAGACATAAGGCTCTTTAGGCACTGATATGCATTCATGATGAAGTATGTCTTGTTTAACTGTTTGGATATTAGGTATCAATTAGTTTTGTCAGAGAGGTGTATTCTAAGAGAAAAAATGATGAATAATCAGAATAGAAAATTAGGACAAATCTGATTCCATCTTCCAGAGTATGAAAATAGTTTCAGTTTTATCTGGTGTCTGTCCAAGTACTAGTACTCACAAGGATGTTAATTTCAGAAAGTTCACTTTTTGTGTCCATCCATTTGTTGCTTCTGAACACAGAAGGTAGCATACTAGACCTACAGAGCTGCAAACCTACAGGCCCTATATTTACAGGTATGTGTACTTGAACATATCTTCTCTCATGTGCAATACCTGAAATAGACCAATATATCCTTTTATGCATTTTCTTCGTTCATGAGACCCAGTTAAATGAGTAGCAGTCTCTTAAGGAGTCCATATTACCATCATTAGCTTTTGCTACCACCTTTCTTCCTTCCACAGGTCCCTTCCTTCTTCATTTACTGCACCTTTCTACATCTCTCTCTTTTCCCCTCAGTGCAATACACTCCAGTCCCCTTCACCTCTCCTTCTCTTTTTCCTGCTGCAACCTCCTTAGGTTCAGACATGCTCCCTAACCCCTATAGCAACATTCTTCTCCTCTGACACCATTTTCCATCCCTAATTAAATCATGCTAACCTCCTAAATCACTTAAGTTATTTTTTCTCTAACAGCTGCAGTCCTCCTTCCCACCATTATGTCCTACTTTGAGTTTCTCTGGTGATGGATGGAGCATGTGCTTAGCCCACCTAGAGGGTGAGGGATGGTGTGTGCCTCCCCATGAGGTACCTGAGCTCCCTGGGTGCCCGTGGTCCCCGACAGGAGGTCTCAGCATTTGAAGCTGTTGAGCCTTGCATTGGCAGGTCTACCCTTCTCCTGCTTCACTGGTATGAGCACACAGTGTGCACTCACAGAAAATGGGACATTTGAATTTAAACCCCACAGACCTCAAGGAACCTGTCTCAGAGGCTCCTTCCTCACTTTCAGATCTCCTAACCAGTTGTCTACCAAGAATACCCTAATAAGTGCCATCCAAACACCGTGAATATCTTGCTAGCTTTTTAAATAACAAAAGCTAGCTTTTGAAACTCAATTTTTTTTCCAACAAACTTTTTTAATAAGAGCAGCATAAAAACATGTAAAGAAAGATGACTTTATTTCTCAGATACAGCTTTATCCCTGCTTATCCTTCCCTCCTTCTCACATAATCTTCCACACGGATTCCTTATTGCCATAGCAATGCCTCACAGCTAAATATTTCCCCTTCCTCCAAAGCTGATTTTTTACTCTTCACAATTTATCTCCAATGATCCTAAACCATAAGCTCTTCTTTTTATCTTCTTTTATGTCAAAAGATTTCTGGTAAGAAAACCACATTCCCAAGGATATTTTAGGCAAAGTATTTCTTCATCCTCAAACTATCTTTAATCAAATTACTGATGCAAATAACTGAGATAAATATGCTGGCTCTTTACTGACAAAATAATCTAGAAAATTGTAAATAAGCAAACTAAATCTGTACTACATATGGATGAGATATTCTCTCAGGATGTCTTAAAAATAAAGTGAAGGCGTTTAGAAATATATCAAGATGATTCAGATGCCTTATTAAGCATGTGTACCCTTTATATCTCTTCAAGTATACATTATATACACACACATATAATAATATGTATTTATGTAAGAGAATTTTGGAAGGGAAGAACATGTTGCTGTATACATTCAAGTACCGCACAGCATCATTTTCCAGAATTTTGTAGTAGGCTTCCTTATGGGGCAAATTAATCCAATTATCTGTCCTCTGGGATTCTCCAACATCTTTCTCTGAAGCATGCCATGTTATGCTGAGCATTATTAAAGGTCTATTGGTCAAAATCGGACAAATGAGAAGCTACAGTTTAAAAATTATGACAATTTCCATTTTCGAGGAATGCATATGGCTACAAGCAGCATTAATCCTGGAGATTTCTGTTTAAAGTTGGGGTTCTGTTTGGAACAACAACACTAAATATCTTTGTAACATACATAAATGATTCCAAGACTGTTAAGTTCTCTGTATGTTGAAGAACTGTGGCTATTAAATGGTTTTTCTAGCAACCTGGCTGTGGTGAGAAGAGAGGAATACAACAGGGCCAACACCACGATAGATAGGGAGATGCCATGTGACACTGTAGGATGTGTTCTGAACTATATTGAAAGTTAGATTGCTGGTCATAGCCAAACAATGCAGATTTAAGTTGCTCTTGAGAAAGAGGATGTAAAAGGTGCAGTAGATGATAAGTAAATCTAATGATATAATCATCTGTAGATAACTGAACACATCTAAACAGATGAAATGTGCCCTCAGAAGCCTCTTCTTAACATTGATCATTCAAGAACCTGCAATGGCTTGCTTAGTTGCAGAGATGTACACACTAGTGCTGTAATGAGGGAAGATGAACACCATCTGGTTTTTTTGCACAGCTTCTAGAACAGAGGACTATGGTTCTTTGACACAGTGTAAACAAACTTGGGTAAAAATAACATCATGGATGAGGATATGAGTTGTGATAAGAGAAAACTGCATTAAAGCTGAAATGAGTATATATTGAAAAAAATGAATTAAAACTCCGATTTATCACTTAACCCAAATTTAGCATGTCCTCTCATGCTGGTCAGCCACTGTGAGAACACTCTTCTGTCCATGACAAATGAGATTTTCCTATCTCAAAAACAAATTTCCTCTTCCTCAATCCATTTTTGCTCAGGCAAAGAAAGCCCATGCAAGTACATTGCTTACATTTAAGGGAGCCTAGCTCTCACGCTATAATTAATTGATAGCTATTTGTTAGTTTATCTTCAAATTTAGTAGACTTCCAGGAGCCAATGTATGCATTGCTAAAATTCTTCTCTTAACTTTGTTTTTCCTTTCGTAAATGATGTTTCTGCTTAGTTAAGTAGCATCTTTCCAGAATTCAAATGGTGTCCTGAATGTAGCAGAGAATGTAAAATCTATAGGACTGCTCAAACACTCCAATTTAAGCACGCTGTTCCTTGGTAAAACTGTGACCTCTCCAGTCTTCATCTTTAAAAGATGCACAGGACTAGAAAAAAACCTGCATGTCTCAAAGGATGAAAGAAATAAACACAAATAAACACTCCATTTTTATGAATACAGTGATTTTTAAAAAAGTATAGACATATAATTAATTACCTATTATTTTCTACCAATATTCACTAAATTTGAAAATTAAATTAATGTTTGTTACCTACTCAATTTCATCTGAGAAATACTTTTAAAATTCAATTTAAATTTTACAAGAAAGTGGATTTTGAAAGCAATATTTTATTATACATGTATTTGAAAAGAATTTGTGTTGTAAGCAATGCTGAGTGAATTATGTAA